TTATCAGACCTGGAGGTTGCCGCCTGGTACAATGTTTACCATGTTCACCATCTTAGTTTAGTCTGGTAGCATGCTAACATTTGCTAACTAGCACTAACGGTATAGCTGGGGCTGATTAGTTTTGCGTGTATTTGGTCATAAACAAAAGTAATGGACAAATTAAATCTGTGTCCTGATGATGGCACTATGGGGAAAAACCCATTTCTCCTCATCCTCAGTACAACCAAAGTTCACGGTAATATACATCCAATAGTTGTCAAGATATTTCACTGAAAAACTAAAATGTCATGAGGCGCTATAAGAAAGATCAGGCGATGAGTCGTATAGGATTCATCCTTTGGGGACCATGAATATCTGAACATTTCATGAAGATCTGGCTGTTGAGATGTTTCAGGCTGGACCAAAGTGGTGAACGATCAACATTCCCAACCCAGGAGCCACACCTATCTCTCCGTTCTTATAAGCACATTCATATCTCACAAGTTTAAAGCATGCAAAGCTCTTAACTCAGATTCACTAATTAGCTTCAGAGAAGACACAGGCACATGGTCTTTCATGTAATTCCCATTTAAGTCAATAGAAACCCATCAAAGACGGCCTAAATTAGCACATACTCTCAGTGGCCTTGTTGCACCGTCTTCCTGTTCAGAGCGGTGAGCAAGCAGTGACTCTGGAGGAAGGGCAGGAGATCGTGGGAACCCGGCGTGTCACCGCGGCCTCGGACAGGTCCAGAAAGAAAGCTCCTTCCAGAGAACAACATGACAAACTCTGCAAGCAGCAAAGGGGCGGAGGGACCGGACCAGAGAGGAAACTGGAGAACAATGAAGAAATGGATGTGACACCACTCACTCGGCTATTGGTCTGGGTGGGAACCCAAAAGTCTGTTGTACTGGAGTCTCAAACTCATTGACAAAAACACGAGGCCCAGTTCCCACGGTGACCTTTCCCACGCTGCTGCTCATATTGTATATTTATGCTTCTCTTGTCAAACTGTTTCCCCTCTGATTTTGTACACTGCATGTTTATGTTTCCTTATCTTGGTGGACGTGCTCCGGCTCTTGTTATGCTGAACTTGATCCCGGCTTTTTTTCGGGCCTTTCAACTGCAGAGGCTTCTGTTTTTGTTGTTGGTTGTTGAGTTTGTGCTGGCCCTTGCAGTCAAAGACGCTTTCATGTCCTTCCAAACAAACTTGTTTGACCTGCTTACTGGTATTGAAATTTGTTTCTTCTTCTTGGTTTTTCCATTATTTCAAACATTACACGTTTTGGAAGTCATTGTCTACAAAACCCCAGGACAAAACCAACAATGAATTGATCCAATTATTGCCAACTCATGACATCCACGCAACTCTCAACACACTCTGAGATAGATTTGTTTTCAGGCAATGATAAAAAAAAATTGCAAAAGCACTGAAAAAGCCCCCAGAAGCACAGTGAGCTCCATCAGGAATATGAAGCCACCAAGACTCTGGAGCTTGAAATCCTGTCAAGCACAGTACTGAGCAGGAGTGACAATGTCAGACTTCCTCTGCAGAGGTTGGAAGCTGCCAGAAGGACATTAATCTCTGCAGCTCTCCACCACTCAGGTCTTTGCTTTAAAGAGAGTGAGAGAGAGAGGCTGAAAGAAACGAGAGCTCATGTGATGAAGATTCAAATTTCAGCACCACAATGATGCAAAACACAAAGAAAAACACCACTGGAGTCTCTCTGTGTCCTGGAGAACCACAGCTGATGTTCGGACTTGAACCCTGTGACCTAAAATTTGTAGCAACATGGCAGTTCATACAATAGATGCTCCAAATTCAGAAATGGGATGAAATATCCAAAGCTACAAGCCTGTTGATTTGTACATTTCCTTATTTTAACTTTTATATATCTGCAAACATTAAAAGAGAGATTGAAGAAGGACATTTAATATATTTTAAAGCAGCATTAATCCTTTCTCTTTGGCCACTTGTGGGCAGAACTTAACTAACTGGAAGTCATTCACACTTTTGACATATTATGACCTAATAAAGTTGCTGGCAAACAACTATTTGGCTAGTTACACATCCAGCAGATATGAAGCAACATTAGCATTAATGTGGAGTTGTGTTTGTGGCCATTAAGTCCGATCATCGCTCTAATTTTAGCTCTGCTTCGGTCTCCACCGACTCCTGAGGAGCATATAACTGCATATGTCCAAAAAACAGTTGTGTGGCTTAAGAGGCAGCTTCGCAAAGTATGATATAGTGCCTCAAGTGATGTCACACCCAAATCTCAGAGACCTCCAGAGTGATGATTCCCTGTGGGTTTGTAGATGTTTGAACTTCTGTTAATACAAAATAAATATACATTTGTGCAGCTTTAAGTCAACAGAAAGACAGAAGAAGTGGTCTGACTACTTTGTGAAGGCCTATTCTGCTGCAGATGCACCTGCTTCTGTATCAGCTGCATGCAGACTTTCAGAGTACGGAACACAACAACGTGTTTCACTGGTCCCTGACAGGAGGGCAGGATGTGGACCTTCGGCCCTCCAGCGTGACAGAAAACCTCCACGCTCCGTGTTGTGATCCTCTCCACTGTTCTTTTAATCTCGTTGACAAAGCCTCTTGCAGGAAGCTATGCCAGATATGTCCGGCTTTTCCAGCAAAGCCAGTACATGAAGAATAACAGTGTTTCACCGGACAATCCCCAATCGCCACAAACAAGGCCAAACCGAACAACAGAGGGTTTAACCAAGACCACGGTTGTGCCTACTCCGGGGAATTCTTGCCATATTTTCCTTCTGGTGAGTCACTCCACGCCGGAGTGAATCTGGGCAAAACAATGACTGCCGGACGCAAACAGGCTTTCTGTATCTCATCACAAAGAAGTTTTCCTTGGCTGGATAGTTGCAAAGTATATTTCTCCTCAATTAATTATTTTTAAAAAAAGCATGCATTACTAAAGACCAATTTAACGTTGTAAAACCCTTGAGGCACAAAATCCAGTTTGGCAACTTGCATCAAAGCTCATAAAAAGTGGATTGTATAATGTCATACATACGGTGGGATAATCTTTCCAAATGGTACTCTGATCACTCAGTAACGTTTACAGACTCCTCTGTAATTATGCAACTTCACACAAACACACGTCTGGAATAAAGACGGACTTTCCCAGTGGTGAAGTCTTTTTAGTCAGGGTGTGTACCTGTAGTATTACAGGATCATAATAGGTCAAAAATATCACTTCATGTCTCAATCAGATGTGTACATTTGTGTTTTTGATGGCTGAGGTTAATTTTAATCTTTAACTTATGTAAATATAGATGAAGACATACATACATATGCACCCACAAAGCTGCATACAAATATATCCTACTTTCCATAAACCTAAATATGATATGGTAATTCTCATTTAATTCACCTTCAATGTAATCCAGAATGAGTCCAAATAGATTTATGTTCCTATAGCCCCGTTTGATCCCTATGTTTCATTCTGGATGAGAGGAGACCTTGCCTCGTCTTTAAGCCACTTAACAAAATGTGTCTCCCGACCATGAGGCCTATAGTTGTCTGGGTCAATTCTGAGGCTCGACAGTCTGCTAATACAAACAGTCTGGGAGAGAAACCAGAATTACAAATACATTCATGAACTTCTCCTCCAGTTATTACCAAAAACAGTTGCTATAAAATCTCTCCAGATCCTTTCGATTTCTAACAACCGGCATCGCCTCTGATCTTGAGTAGAAACACTTGAAATGACTGGGATTGGGACTAGGATTCAAAGCAAAATCCTTTATTTCTGTCTATTTACATCTCCAGAAAAAGACCGGACTGAAACAAACAAACAGATCAGTGATTAACGCTGTTTAAGTTCGAGATGTGAAAGCGGAAACACATTTCAGACTACAGTCTGTCTGAGGTCAGTTATGTTTAGGAATACCGTTCCCTCACCCGGCACTGTTCCCATGACCTCTTCATGTTTCCAGACACTGCCTCTAAAAATGGCAACAAATTACATGATATTACAATTCTATCAGTTGTTATCAGGGGCAGCCGAAGAATGTGGCTTTAACATATTGTAAACATTATGGTTTTTGTGATGCCCAAAATGTATAGGCGTCTAACGTTTGTTTATATCATTTATTCCCATGTGGCTAGTATACTCTACCATATAGGCATTTAATGCAATGCTTACACACAATAATAAACTGTGTTTATGCACTTCTCTCTGTCAGTCTCTAATATGTTGCTATATGAATACAAACCAGGTCACTTTAATACTTAATCTACAGCCAGTTATAACTCAAAAACAAGCAGGACATACTGCACAGACCTGGCAGTGTTTTGTTTAAACAGGCTTGAAGCTCCAGATGGGAGCGGTTTTGCCTCGTGAGCATCAGGAAGATGAGACAATCACAGGAAGGTACTGTACGTCTAATGTCTCCTTTTCTTTTCTTTTCTTTTCTGTAATTGACAACGTTAACCACATTGTCCCGGTGCAGTAAGACACAGCCTCCGTGGTAGAAGAGAAAGAAGCAAACCCTGGAGATTCTTCTGTGAACGACTTCTTTCCCTCAGAGAGAATGTGTGGAACAAACCAAGTGGAGCGCCAGAGGAGCGGCTTTATGTCTTCAACAATCACGATTGCACTACATTTTTGAAATATACAGAGCTATCGATCAAACGACCCAGTACATGAATTAGTTCAGAACATAAAGTAGTAGTTTAACAGTAAAGTAGCTAAAATGTCCTTCACCATATCTATATCAAGCCATCCATCCATCTCAAGAGTGTTCATGTTGCCCTCTAGTGGTCAGAGTGAGGAACTGCAACACACTAAATTCATAAAGACAGCGTCAATGAAGACGGGACAACACACTACCACTTCCGGTATGTACTTTCAAAATACGTGACCAAAGTAACGGAAATTATCATGTTAATGTTAAATGCCGTTAATTTACTTATTTGCACATATAAGTGAGCACGATTAGCATGCATGTAGAGAAAAACAAAAAATAATGAAATTACTGAGACATAAGATGGAAACTGTTTATTTCATGGTCAAGATACAGTATATATATACACAGTATTTCTACAGAGGTATATACGAGTACAACTGAGTAGTACTACAATGTAGAAACAAATACTGTTATTGGTAAAAGTCCTGCATTCTAAATGTTAGAGTAATTGCACACAAATTAGTATCAAAAAATACTTTAAAAAAAGTACCAAAAGTAAAACTACTCGTGATGCAGAATGTACCAATCCTTTATCAGTATACATTATTTAACTACAATAATATTTGTATAACTTACATGTTTGTGTATTCTGCCAGGTCACGTAATCCACATTAATACATTAAAGTATATTTGGCACTGAATTGTAGCCAACAAAAACCTCAAAATTGTACTCTAGTACATTACTGTATTTGGTAAATGCACTTAGTTACTTTCTATCTGGTCATAGTAGCCAAGAATGTCTTATTTCTACACAGCTTCTTTTTGAAGAAATCTGTACAAAAATAAAGATTGTTTAATTATAAAATAGGAACATATCTGAGCAAACAGCGCCCCTAGCGGCCACAGTAAGGATGATTATAAAGTGTGTGTATGGATGAATGAAGAGTCATTAGAGGGTTCTCACAGTGTATCACACTAAACACCCACAGAACTAGAATAAATCACTATATCTGCAACGCTGGACTGACAAATATCACTTTGATACTTAACAAATGAAGCTCTACTTCTCAGATTTAAATCTTTCCCATCACGTACAAAGAATATGAAAATGTAATGAATGCTGTTCCTAGAGGAATCCCTTCAACACAATGACAGTCTAGAGGCCAGCGTTACAGAAACCCAACCTTATTTTTAAAAACAGAATATATATTAAAAATCACTAATAAAAAATATTTGGTCTGCAAAACAAAAAACAGTTCCTCTGGGAAATTGTTTTTTCTAGTATAGATTGGGGAACATGGCTTCCTCCATAGAAATTAGTTATCCCCAACAAATAGATATAGATATAAGAAATCGATTTCAAAAATTGTGGTGAATACTTATCTCACCAACAAATTCATCTCAAGAGTTGTCTTTGCTTTACTACGTTAGTTACTCAATGTCCTATGATGCCTAAATGTTTTGTCTTCATGTCACATGCAAGTGTTGACTTCTACAATAAAGAGTAAAACATGTTTTTGTCTTCATATGTCGAACACGAGTGAACAAGCAATATCAAGTAACGCCAAAACGTGCATTTCCGTAGTGCTCGTGATACCTAGTAGGTGTAATGAACTTCACTCCGCATTTTAACAAAAAATTGAAACCTTTATTTCAGATCTCTCTTTTTTACAAAAACAACGAACAGTTAAGTGCACCTTGGAATGCTCGTTGTAAATGGACCCATTGTGTCGTCACGATTGCTCGTCTGGTGCTTTAATAAGATGGCAGCCACTGACAGAGTGACCCACAAGCCCTTTCTCTGGGATCACAGGGCTGTGAGTGATAAAACAAGGTGGCCTGCACGATTCTCCCCCCCTCCCCCAGTCCTGGTCTCCCCCAGCAGCACTTCACTACTCCTTGGCCACCGCGAATGGCTTGTCCACCTCGATCGTGCCGCAATTGTGGATGACGACGTCTTGAAGAGGCTTATCGCGTCCATCTGTCTTTGTCTTTTCAATCATTTTCACGACATCCTGGAAGATAAAAAAAGAAAGAATGCTCTATTAAAAGTCCTGCATTTACTCTGCAGAATGGTTCCTTAGTGTTTTATATAATATATGTATTATATACATTATAGTGTTGGATTATTAATATTATTGCTGCATTAATATACAGGCCTCATTGTATTGATGTAGCTGGTCGAAGCAGAGCTAATTTTAACCATTTTACTGTTGGGTAGTTTAATCTGTAACAAAAAGCAGTCTGAATATGAGACGCATTTACAGAAGTGGCAGAGTAGCAAAATGTTAATTAAAGCTAACCAGTCTGCATCTCTAAATGACTTCATTAGAGAGCACACAGCAGGAAACTAGTGTTTAGTCTGAAAGTCAACCTGCTATTTAAGCATTTCAACACAAACGCTGTAGGAACGTCTCAATCGGTAATGACACTCACCATCCCCTCCAGAATTTTCCCAAAGACGACGTGTTTGCCGTCCAGCCATGGAGTCTGAATGGTGGTGATGAAGAACTGGGAGCCGTTGGTGTCTTTGCCGGCATTCGCCATGCTGAGCCAGCCAGGGGAGTAGTGCTTCAACCTGAAGTTCTCATCGGCGAAGCGGTCTCCATAGATGCTCTTGCCTTGATTTAAAACAAATCCATTTTATTCAAGTTTGTGCAAGACAATTAGCTGATGTTTTGGTTTCCACAAACGATTCTCTCCCTGTAGCGACCTTTGCATCTCACTTGGATGACTTTGATTTTAGCCAAATGTTTATCTTTCACTTTATCCGATGACCTTTTTCTTATTCGAGTCATCCTGGACGAGAGCATCTGCCAAATGTCACATGTACTCAAGTGACTATTGTGAAATACCTCTTGGCACAAAGTTATAGATAACTGTCGGTGCTTATCAAATACAGGAGGACGTCTCTATCCTCGTGTCATGACGTTTCTAAACAATAGAATAAATCTTCAACTCATTAAAGAATAAACACTCAGGAGATCGTAGCAAATCTGTTACCCAAATGATATGGACATGAGGAAAAATATGTCATTCTCCTGACTGTTTGCACAGTTTAACTGCTTTGTGTAAAAACTAAAAGAGACCAAAGTGTGAAACAACCCTCAAGTCAATAAAGGTTCACAACGTCATGAACATAAAAGCCATGCTGCAGGTGTTGGCGGTGGCCGTCTTACCTCCGGTGCCGTCTCCTCTGGTGAAGTCTCCACCCTGAATCATGAAGTCCTTGATGACTCGGTGGAATTTACTGCCCTTGTAACCGAATCCTTTCTGTTTTTGTTAGAATAAACAGAACAACACTTCAGAAAGGGAAATCAGCTGCCAGTATTTGAGATGAAAGAGAATCAAATGATTTATTTAAAGTGTGTTTCTAGGATATGGTTGTTTATGGTTTGGGGAAAGCAAACAAGGATGTTAAACCACACTGAGCACGAATTATGAACCGCGACGTTCTCACCTCTCCTGTCGCCAGAGCGATAAAGTTGTCGGCTGTCTTGGGAACGGTTTTCCCAAACACCCCAATGACGATTCTTCCAACTTCTTCATCTCCAACTTTCATGTCAAAGAAAACCTGAGGAAGAGGATGATGGAAAAACCTTTATATTTACCGTTATTCTGCTAATCTTATAGGCAGATAAACAGTTTTGTATAATTTCAGTACAATTAACACTTGAAATGCTGGTAGTACAAGATGTAAACAATACTTGGATGGGTGCCTTCTTTTACCAATTTCTCACATCATAGTCTTAATGTTTATGTTAATCACTCTATACAATTTCATTTTCAACCACTGCAATTAAATCTTCCTTTGTTGAAGAGATGCAGCCAGTCATATTTTAAGGAAATATTCACTCTGACAAATTAAATTTATTGTGCAGTGTTATTTTTTCTTGGGTGCTCTATTTTCCAAAATTATAGGCACAATTTAGCTTCAAATCAAAGTTGCAGACCTTCAATGTACACAGTCTCTACCTAACTAACTCACTTAAACAGTTTTGTGGTGCAAGGCCGGTTTTTAATAGACATGCATATAGAAAGAGATATTTGGTTTTTCCAAGTGGTGAATGAGTAATTGTGAGTTTTGCACTGAGGATTATTTGAGGACCAACGAGCCCGTGGGGTCAGGCGTTGATAACTGTAGACGTGGACAAACCTGATGCCCCAGACATAACCAGGCCAGACATAATAACACCTCACTGAGCTGCAGCCGAGAGGGCTAGTCAGAGACGGAATCATCCGTAGCTCCAACCTGACACTATGAGCGAAGCTTAGATGTAAGGCCATAAAAACGTTAAGTTACCGACAGGTTACGGCGACCTCACGTTAGCTAGCACGAACTAACGTTAGCTAGCTCGAACTAATGTTAGCTAGCTCGAACTAACGCTAGCTCGAGCTAATGTTAGCTATATCAAACTAACGCTAGCTCGAGCTAATGTTAGCTAGCTCAAACTAACGCTAGCTAGCTTAAATAGATGTAAGGCCATACGAACATTAAGTTACCGATATGTTAAGGCGAACTAACGTTAGCTAGCTCGAGCTACTGTTAGCTAGCACAAACTAACGTCAGCTAGCTCGAACTAGCGTTAGCTAGCTCGGCTGAGATTAGCCAGGAGCAAAGGAATGCCCATTTCACAGCTGTATGCTAACGAGGTTTCATGCACCAACTTGTCCTGAATTACTGCACTAATGTAAGCTATAATACCCCTCATTAGCCTCCGAGCTAAATACCATTAATACCGGTTTGTAGCATAAAACTAACATTTACAGGCTAATCTTTGTGTGACGTGGTTCATCAGTCTGAAGCTAGCAGTCAGCATTAGATGGAAGAGAGATATTTGATTTTTCTGCACGATCCGCTAGCTAACAAGCTAACGGTCAAGTTAACACACAACCTACCTTTGCAGTCACTTTGGGGCCTTTCTTCTTCTCGTCAGCGGATGAGCCATTTGGGAAAGCGAGAAAAATCAGGGATCCCACAATGATCGTAACGGCCACAAGGAACTTCATCCTTCTCTCGCAGAGTCTAACCATCAACAAGAAAAATTAACAGCCGGGGATCGGCCTATTGGTCCTACTAGCTTTATATATACGAGCCGGGTGAGGAGCGTGGTATCCGGGGAGGAGACTGCCGCGGTGGCCGCTCGAGGCTGCGCTGCTACCGCGGCCTCCTCAAACACGGCGTACAGACGCACGGGCTTCTGATTGGTTCACGTACCGGAACGGTCTTAGCCAATCAGCTACAGCCGCGTAACACCGAGCCAGCGTTCCTCAGCAATGTAAACGTAAAGGACGTAAAACACTCTTGACAAGGTACAATTTTGAGATACTTGTACTTTACTTAAGTCTTTTCTTTTCATGCCACTCCCTACTTATACACCACTACATCTCAGAAGGAAATGTTTGCACCGAAAACATATGAGTTTGTGTACTTTTACTTTGTACTTTAAAAGTTAGTTGGAAACTTTCCTGATTATACTTTTTACTTAAGAACTTGTTTTTGTTTTAACAGTGTGGTATTAGTGCTTTTTCTTAAAGGATCTGAATACTTCCTCCACCACAAATTTATAATAAAAGGTGAGGTTGTTTAGCAGCAGTTCATTGTTCATTAAAAGTTGTTTAATGAAACCCAGAATCGGACTCTGATCTTTTTTATTAACTACAATGTATTTACAATTTTAAATGACTATGTAGCATGAAACCTGCTTTGACACATGCATTTGGGGACATACAGTATACTGAAGTCATAGAACCAGCAGATGTACGCGCTATCTGTGTAGCTTACACTGAATCAATTAAATGTAATTTAACAAGTAAGCGGTATTTACAATGATTAGACTCAATAATAGATGACAAATGAGTTTGAAATAAAGCAATTTGAAAAGTACTTTACCAAAAACTAAACTATTTTTCCAGCCTTCTTCCCAAATACTCATTGGACTAATACACAGGCATTGTTCTGTATATAAGTAGAAAAAAGACTGTTTTTATCATCTTTAGCCTACACAAATACTATCATTTTAACAGCCAGATGAATATTGGTAGCTACCTAATTGTTACAGTACAAATGTTTTCTCTATATTACGTCACATTTTGCATTTCTGATCCACTCATCGGTTTTTGATGGACTCTTTGAACATCTTTTAAAACTCACTATTTATAACTGCGACAGCGTCACTAGTGTTGTTTTCACCTGCAGTCTGTGTGTGTGTGTGTGTGGGTGTGTCATCATGGCAACATGTGGTCCTGGAGAACGCTACTGTAGCAGGAACGACTAAAGAGGTTGAAAAAGTACTTTGCCAAGTGTTTATATTTAATCACCGCTGTAGAGTTGCAACTGTACAAGATGCAGTCACAAAACTTTACAGGCGTGTAGTCGAGTTCAAAATCAAGGTCCAGTTGGAGGCTGGGTGTGGCCATTGCCCCCCCCCCCCACTGCATGCCCCTGCCCCGATTTAACATTGCAGCTGGTGTGATCCTATTGCAAGTTGGCATATATTGGCAAATATGCAGAATAATCTGCAGCAGGGGCGTTTCTAGGATTCAAAGAAAGGGGGGGCTTAGCCCCAAGGCGAGTGTCGTTTTTGCGCGCATAGCGCGGCAATTTTTTTTGGGGCCCAGTTCATAGATTGGTTCAATCAGAAAGAGTGTGATTTTGCTCTGTAGTTTTGCTTGCATTCAGTATATGATAACACAAGAGACCGAATTTCAGGGTCACAGTGAAACACAAATATGAACTTTTCTCAAATAAAGAGAAATAATTTTCCTGCTTGGAACGGAAAGACGGATAAACTAGCTTTCATATCCGCGTCACTCCCAAATCCTAATTCTTAAAGGGACTGCACACAATGGATGGAGAATGGACCTGACAGTGTAAACTTTATATCGTTAAGTATGATGATGGCTATTGGATTGTAATTTGAAGGGGGAGAAAACATACAAACCAGAATGCACGCACATATGTAGCATGTTAGAGTTATAAATAACTTGTCCATGTGAGAAACAGTTTAAATTTTTTTTTTTTTAAAGCCAATAATGCCAAATTATTTGGGGGGGCTGAAGAACATTTTAGGAGGGCTTTAGCCCCCCTAAAATAGGCCTAACGACACCCCTGATCTGCAGCGCCACAATAAAAAGCTTCTACTCTCTGTACATATTTTAATGACAAACTACAAGTAAATGAAATGGGTCGACAGTTACAACTGTTAAAAAACATGAGACAAACTATCAGATGAATAGATTGTACTTGCTAAAGATAAAGGGGGGGCTTCGGAGGTTACATTCACCTTTGCAGGCACACCTGCCACTTTGTACTAGTGCAAAGAATTTATTCTGCTCAACAAAATGACAGACATTGTTTTGTTGCATTAAGACTCCATTATTGCAGGCCTTCAGTGGCCGTGTGAGGTATACAAACACATTGTTCTGACAGCTACGTACTGTATATAGCGTTCCCAAGTCAGCTCAGAAAATAACAAACAACAAACGCAAAATGTACCCATACACAAGAGCTAGGAAGCTTTCCCTGGAGTTTCCAGCCAATCAGTTTACATAGTCACATTTTATAAGTGAGCAAAAGCGACAACTGAAAAGAAAGTACAACGGAAGAGTAAACAAAGAAACTAGTACCGTAACCCAGATAACATATGGCGCATTTACAAATTATATTTTACCTGAAACTTACTTTAATGACAAAACTTTTACGTTAATCACCCGACCCGACTGTAAACTCTGCTTAGCTGCATAAAGAAAGATCCCCTTCAAAACCAGGTTTGCATTTATAAGTGTAGAATTTCAACATTTGACAAAAAACTGTTTTTACGGACGCTGCATCAGTGACTTATACGCAACAGAGATTACAAGTTTACAAACATCTTTAGAGCGGGAGTGCTTAGGCCAAAAGCTGAGAAAACACAAACTTCGTCACACTTTTATCCTCTCGGGACAAATAACAAAAATGTCAAGTATATCGAGTTAACAGTTTTTACTCGTACAGAGCTCGAGCTTTCAAGTGGTCTAGTGACTCGTGACTCTGCCGTGAATGCCACCAAAAAAGTTGAAGATACACAGAACATCAAAAATACCACTTACATTCAAAATATAGGAAGACGCTCATCAGTTTCCAGTCAAACAGAATGTGTGTGAATTCATGTCTATCTCAGAAATGTATGATGTAACGCTGAGTTTTAAGTTTGGTTGGCTCTGAAATATGAATAAACTATTATAACTTTTAGATTCTTGTATTTTCCCAAGGCACAGCATACTTAAGATATGCAGGTCGAAGTAAATTAGGTGAGCCAACAAAACTCTTTGGAGTTTGTGGAGATGGCTTTGAGCTGCGGCCGGTGCATAGAGTCAGGCCGCCTCGCAGCCCGGTCACATGTCAAGTTCTGCCTCAGTTTCTGTGTCTGCTGGAGGACTCGAGGAGGGAGAACCGAGGAGACCGGAGCCGGCTGGAGGAGTTACCGGGCAGGATCTAAAACTATCGCCTACGATTCACATTCTTAAACTCAGTTTGGAGCTTCGGGAAGGAAGACACAGAAACTGGTTCAGGGCACGCAGGCCCGAACAAGTATAGAACTCCAAACCCAACAACCGCAGCCTTCCACACAAACGGAATGTCCGATTCAAGCGAACCCTTTAGAAGGGCTGCTGGGTCTTTATCTCGGAGTACACTAGTCCCTCTGCTGAGATGGCGTCCCCGAGCCCCACTGTCCGGAGAGGCTGTTTGCAGACCAGCACGACGGTCAGGTGGAAGGTGACGTTTCCTCGGCGCCACATGGTGACGGGCTCTGCGGGGTTCAGCAACAGCTTCTCTCGTGGCTCGGCGTGCGAGCTGTGAAACTCCAGCGGGGCCTTGAGCTCCACTTTGCCGGCGTCAACCAACTGGAGGCCGCAGGCCTGACTGCTGGCCACGCGCGCTCCAGCCATCACCGCCGCCGCCTGGTTCCCCCAATATCCATCCACCGTAGCCAGGATGTGGTAGGCCAGCGTGTGGAAGTGAATGCGAGTCAGGTCGGCTTCGGACGACGGCTCGCTGCGGCCGTGCTGCTCCAGGATCCAGAGGAGGATGTCGCTGACCCGGCCCACGTCCGGAATGCCTTTCCAGGCATCCAGGTGTGAGTGAGGCCCCTCACCAGCCTGAGAGAGGAAGAGCAGCTCCTGCTCGTTCAGCCCAATGGAGTTGACAATGGGCATAACCTGCTAACAGGGAAACAGAGAAAAGAGACTTCGATGAAATATACAGAACCCTTTCGGGATTTGTGGGTTTTGAGCACACTCTCTGTGAAGGGCTTTGTGAGGTTCACCACATGAAAAAGACTCTCAGACACGACATGTTTTTGCACACGTACCTCCTGCATGATGCTGTTCATGTAGTCTTTGTCCGTCATGCTCGCCAGCTCCAAGTGGATGGGAATATCGTGACGAATGTCAGATATGGCTAACACGGCCTGCGAAGAGAAAGCAAGTAAAAGATGTGAGATGAGCTGCATCGAAATGTGAGCATGCAGATTCCTTGAGCAACATACTGTGAATAAAATTACATGTTTTGTTATGAATAATTAATACAATCTCTGTAAGAGACTGTAGAGGGCAGCTTTCAGCCACTGACCTCCTTCAGTCTCTCCTCCCACAGCTCTCTGCCCTGACCCTCCATCATGTGGAGCCCCGACAGGACGACCAGGTCGGGCTCGAACTCGTCCAGGCTCGCCACGAACGTCTCCAGGGAGCTCATCTCCCCATTGGACACGTCGTGAGAGAAGATGAAGCGGTTGGCTTGAGGTGCCTGAGTTGAACCCCACTGTTCACCTGGAAACAGATAAAGAACCAAATACAACTTCTGCATCAACACATCTTAACGATGAAGTAAGAGATCCTGTAGAAGCTGAAGCTTGTTCGTGTCTTTACCCGCTTTATACTCCAGGATGAGGTGAAATTCGTCCGTCTCCTGCAGAGAGTCCGGGGGAACGACAATCTGCTCATCCAGCATCTCGTGAAGTTTAGGACCAACCGGCCCACATAACAAGACCTGTGGCATAAAACAGTCGTTTAAAGACCGGGGTTTCTGAACTACACGACAATACTGTGTTTAGCGGGCTGCCCAAACACTTTCCATACTTTAAAAACACATGTGAAAATGTAAAGAACATGTTTTCACTTTTTGTTTATTGTTTCTTGCTGAAAACATGCTGTTGTACCATTAGATCAGGGTAGGTGGCGAGCTTCTGACCAATGAGAGCAGCATTCCCTCCCACATACAGCTGGAAGAAGACACACGTAAATTTAACCAGGAGGAACAACATTTATTTAAAAAAAAAAAAAAAAAAAAAAGGACTTAATAACAACAAGAAGTAGTTTGGGAAGTGAGGTCGCCTTGCCTTCGCACCGGGGTACTCTGCTGCTGCGCGCGCGATCCTCTGAAAGGCCTCGTGGTCGCTGAAGAAGCGCTCGGCAGCGGCCCCGCGCTCCATGTAATGGATGAAGGCTTCCTTCAAGTCCTCTTTGGAGTGCAGCACCTCGTGATCCAGGCCGGCACCCGGATCCACCGCCATAGCCTGCAGCAGTCCCACTCCTGAGACGACCACGTCCACACAGGCATTCACCCTTACAATGAGAGGAGAGAACGAGTACGGGTTATTTGATTAGTTGATCATTTAATCGTCATATGGCTTTTACTGTAAAATAATCCGGAAGATATTAAGATACTTTTTTTTTAAAGGTCTGCTGGTAGCCTGATCAGACTAAATTGGCAAAATTGGAGAAATGACCAGCTGTTAGAAAGGCTCAGAATAGTCTGGTGTCAGTGCGTCAGCATGTGTGTCAGTAAGTTTTGTGCAGATGCAGAGAAATAATTTAAAATGTAAACAGGACGGCTTGTTTTAAGGACACAGTGAAATAAAAAACAAGCCTTAAAAAGTAACTTCAGGTGTTGCCCCACCCCCTCTCTACTTCTCTATTGGTAGAAACAATCTGTCCATCCCTCTAGTAGGCAGTCCTTCAAGTCCAGCCAATCACCACCTTACACCTTGATCCAGTTTTATTCTAAAGCATCCTAAAAGGCTTTAGGGTCGGTATAGAACCAAGCCCTCTGAGTTGGGACTCCTGACAACACATTCCTTCACACCAGCAGAGCTGATTACCGCCTCTAAACATGCCGCCGTGAGCAAGAGATCACCTTCAGCTGCCAGAAGGTGAAGCTTCTATATCTCACAGTCCAACCCTCTAAAACTCACCCTACTGCCACTTTGCTCCACTGGCGGGTCGGCAGAACTATCAGAGTCTCCCAGGCGCTGGAGATCACCTGCTCCAGGCTGTTCTGACTCTGAGACGACGGCTGAAAGTTTGGCAGGCCGATGTACTGCAGGATCTGTTCCGGCAGGTCCGGGCTGCCGTGGTAGAAGTAGCCAACAGCTAACGCCAGCAGGGCCGCTGCTGAAGCCTTCCTCCACATGATGCTCCCACACACTCCTGCAGCGAAAGGAAAAAGCTGTCACTTCTCTCATTTCAACCGTTCAAAAGTGATTGTTGTGTGTTGAGCTGCATGCCAAGGTTCAGCGTTTAAAGACATAAACAAGGATGAAGAAAATAAGTAAATACTCGTCAAACTCGCATGTGAAAAAGAAAACCTTTGACTAATTGAATAGTCTTGAATGACAGCTTGCTTCAAACAATTAACTTTGATAACATTTTCATATGATTGAGCAGAAAATTGATAAACAATATAATTGAAAAACTGCTGTTTGAATTGGAGCAGAAACAATAAGTTAATCAGCAGTTATTTTGATAATCAAATTTATATTTTTTAAATAAAAATGTTGCAGGTTCTCAAACGTGAGAATTTGCTACTTTTCTTGGAGTTACATTATTTCAAATTGAATATTTACTGTCAGTTTAAAAAAAAAAATGGTCAAGTCATCCAATGTGTTTATTTTTCTTTTGTCCGACCAACGGTCCAAAACCTCCAAATAATAAATGTACTACCACGAAGACCAAGAAAAGCAACAAATTCTCCCATCTGAGAATCTAAAAGCATCAAATGTTGAAATGACATTTGTGCTTGAAAAATAACTCAAGCGATGAATCTATGATCAAAATAGTTTTTCGTTGCTCTCAATGTACTTAAACAGAAACAGACACAGCTAAAAAAAAAAAAAAAAAAAGGACAACAAAGCTGCACAGAGGTAAAAACAAACATTCAACTTGTATTTGCAAATTAGTGTTATCAAAAAGATTGAATTTCTCACATACACATCGCTACAGTTCCCACATAAGTTCAACACTCATGTTACCAGATACTGTTACTACTCAGAGTACTGGGACAACCATGAGACAACCATAACATAACACAACCACTAAGAAACACTGCAACTTTGCCAGTATGTACTTTACGGTACAGAATACAGGGGTTAAGTTACTGCAAACGTACACGTGTACACACACACACACACACACAATTTTGTTAGCTAACATGCTAGCAGCAGCACACAGGGTGAATCTTTAGGCTTCAGTTAATCAAAGCTGATCTGACAGTAGCAATTAGCTTGTAGCACAATTTAGCAGGCAATCTAATTTAGAGTCTAAGAGCAAAAAGACTTTTCCTGCTAACTGTCGCACGCGTCAGCTTGATACCAGCTCTTGTTTTGTTAAAACCGAAGTAGCTTCGCAGCTTGTTAGCGGCACGTACCGACTGATAATGTGCAGGCTCCAAGTTTAGTGAGTCAGGAAGACAATCCTGTCTCCTGGTGAATTACACAAACAGCATTCAGTGTGCTGAATAACACCGCTGGTGGACTGAGAAGTGACTGAAGAAGTCGTTGCATCGAAGGCGGAATGATTGGAAGAGACAGCTACTTCCGGGTACCGCTCTGCGCATGCGCCACTACAGGATACATTTCATATAGGCTGTACATTCAAGAGTACAGAGCAGTGGCGGCTGGTGGATAATTTTCTAGGTAGGGCCATCCAATCAATTTCAGCAAACATCCCAGTATGATTTAATGCAAACAATGTATGTATCAAACACGCTTTACTACTTTGCAGTTAAATATTTAACATGTATTCCAACACGAAGCAGTAAATAACACTTTGATAAACACGTCAGGACATCTTATTTTTGTCACCCTCACAGGGAATTCAGTATAATATAAACATGGAACAAAAAGTTCGGAAATTAGTGTTTGGTAGATTATTTCTCTGTTTTAACAATACTTCTTGGCAATAAATGTTATACTGTTGGAAAGCCTGTTTATTTACCTTTCAAACGGTGCCCCATTTGTAAGGAACATGCATTTGTGGGATGAGCAGCACAGCTGAGTATGTGGGTTGCGCCCATGAAAAATTTGCCAAATCTTCTCTGCCAATGCCAAACAGCTTATTCTGCTTATTTGCTATTGACTCTTGTTTGGTGTTGTTTGGTGGATTGGATGATTGAAGTCTATCAGTAACAAGGAAGAAACAAGACATATTGGCAATTTTACAATTTATTCATTTAGCCTCAGTAGCGTGTGGAAGAACCATAGACAGCCACAACAGCCTGACACCTCCTCCTCATGCTGGTCACCAGCCTGCTCACACACTGCTGTGGGATGGCATTCCACTCCTCAAGCAGGATTTGTCTCAAGTCAGCCAACGTGGTTGTGTTGGTCACTCCGGCACGAACAGCTGGTCCCACAAGTGTTCACTTGGGTTGAGGTCAGGACTGCTGGTAGGCCATTCCACCCTCTCTACTCCCAAATTCTGGAGGTAGTCTCTGATAAACCCCGCTCTGTGGGGGCGAGCGTTGTCATCTTAGAGACTTAGAGGATGGAGTTCGGTCCCAGACTGTGGAGAAATGGGATTGCCACTGGTTGCAGAATCTCATCTCGATATCTCTCTGCATTGAGATTGCCTCCAATGAAGACAAGCCTCGTTTTTCCAGTGATGGAGATGCCGCCCCACACCATCACACTGCCTCCACCAAAAGGTGTTACTCTATCGGTGCAGCAATCAGCATAGTGTTCTCCCCGTCTTCTCCACACTTTGACCCTGCGATCCAACTTCCCTAGGCAGAATCTGGACTCATCGCTGAACATAACGTTCCTCCACATGTTCAGGTTCCAGTGCAGGTGTTACCGACACCAGTGCAAACGGGCCTGACAGTCAATAGCAACAGCAGAATAAGCATTGTTGCAACAGAGAAATAATCTACCAAACACTAATTTCCGAACTTGTTGTTCGATGTTTATATATACAGTATATATATATATATATTGTATAATAATATTCATTATAGTATAAAACACACACACATATATATATATATATATATATATATATATATATATATATATATATAATAGAACAACTGTGGAAAAAAACTACAAAACATCATCCTGTTAACCATTTTACAGCCTCGTTGTGTAGTTCGTCCATAGCCTAACATTAGTTTATTTACCTCTGCTGATGAAAAACGTGAAGATGACCAAACTGAACAAAATGTGTAAGTATTATAAACTTGTGTTTTTTTTGTAGAGTACAGTAGTGCAATGACAACTTCTGGGGTTGACCCAAGGATTAAATAAAATAAACTTTTATATATTTATTGGGCAGACACAGAAAAAACGTCACCAAGCTGCAAACATACCCTTTAAAGACGTCACAGACCCTCAGCCAATAGAAATTCAGCAAATCAGACTTTAAAAGTCGAGCAGCTCATACCAATTATACAATAGGTGGATACGATTTTTATTTTACTGTGTAGTTTACAGTAAAAACACAATATTGAAGGGCTTAGCGAATGAGCCTTAATAACAGTAAATAGTATTAAATAGGCCCCTTTGCGTCATTTTTCTCAGTTATACTCAGATATATATTTCTTCTCGGACCCCTACGTCTTAGACTTGAGATCGTCCGGTGTCAAAGTTGACCGGCGGGGCTGTCATGTCTTTGTTGCCTCTGTTGCACCGCATATGTTGTGAATAGAAAAGCGGGATAGATGGAAAAATAACGGTTATACGAACAGAAGATACTCGTTTAGACCTTACCCACAACAGGTACGTCTAGGGTTTTTAAATACCGGTAAAGTCTGTGCAATTTATACGCGAGGAATCTCAGTGGACCCGAAACCATTCATCCATGCTAAGTTAGCTGAACAGCTAGCTGTTGGCTAATATTAGCTGCACTTGTGGCACTGCTGCTGAATTGCTTTTTAACAATAAAATTAATCTTATCTCCCGGAATACGAAACGTATGTGATTTCAACGAGATAGCAACACACTCATATATTTACTTGCAAGCAGTGTAACGTTATTTTAAAGCTATTTAAAATGAATGACGTTAACTGGTTTCCATTCGGATTTAGCTTATTAGTTAGCATAGCAGGTGAAACGTTAGCAGTGTTGTCGCAGAGTTTGCTGGGAAGAATATGCACTGTTGTACTTTTCATGAAGTGGGGCCGGTAATGGCTATTTTAACTTTGTTGTATTGTGTTTCCGCCATCGTCATCCTTTTGTCGGTATTGTTTATCTCGTGGTTTTACCTTTTTTTTTTTTTTTTGTTTGTTTTTTTGTTGCCAACAGTTTGTCTAAAATGCCCTGGCACATGCATTCAGATTCATATACACTGCCAGACTCTTAATATGCTAAACCACATGTGCATCACCTAGCAATTCTTTTCCTCAATTTGCATATTGATTTATTCGATAAAGTCAAACCACCCAAAAGATGGAAGACAAGCTGAATGGATTCCCTGTTGTCTCCCCGGAGTATCTTCAGCAGTGGTGAGTCTTCCTCCACACCACAGTGTTGGCTGTACACATCATAGCTGCTAACCTCCGAATGGCAAAGTGTGATGAAAATGAAATTAAAGCATGTGTGCCCCTTATTTGAGTTTTGTTTTACCACTGATGATTTACAGTTTTGTGTCTATTGTTTTGTTTCAGTGCAGGGACAAATAAAAGGAAGCGTCTCTTTGGTGGAATGATTCATAGGATGTATTGTGTTTCTACAGTGTCTTCATTTCACTAACCGTTGTTGACTGGGAGCAGACAGTGTGGGCTTTCCATCTGGTGTGCACACAACTCTGCAGAGTGATCTGTGTATTGTCCTTTTTTGAATCATACACACTCCGGCTCATTGGGTCCACCACGCTGAAACTAATGCAAACTTATACAACAGACATGCAATCAATCAAAACTTTCATTCAAACAAAGCTCCACAAATATCTAAGTTGCCTCCAACTGAATAAATTTACCAAATACAAGCGTCATTCAATAACCTGGTAAACAATCTGGACCTAATAATTAAGGTAACATAAAGGAACCCATCCTTCATGAGGATTAACTGACTCATGATCATTTTGCATCAAAATCAGAATCCGGTTCATTAAGTAGGTTTTCACATACAAGGAATTTGCTTTGGTGCATAACAGCAAACAGAGAGTAGGTTTAAAATATACAATTACAGAATTAAAATGAAAGAGCTGAACAGTTTAAAATGTAGTTTTGTGCAAAAGTTCATAGTATGATGTATACATAAATAAATGTGCCATCGGTTATATTTAAGAATTTATCAAACTGAATTCTACATCCTCGCTGGTTAACACTCTATCTAATAGAGAGAGAAAGCACACGGTGCTTCCACTGTTGCATAACGCACTGGTCTAACTGAGCTTCAACCCTGCAGCACATCCCGCTGTGATTCCACTCGTATTAATACATCCCCCTGTTTGTTTTACAATCATTCTTCCTCACAGGGTTCAGTCTGCACAGCAGTTTCAAGCTCTCCAGGCCCAATATTCCGGCTTCAACCACCAGTCTCACTACCCAGAGGGGCAGACGGGAGAGACGGCCATGGCACACATGGCTTATCCAGAACCCATGATGGAGGAGCAGGAACCTGCCAACCTGGCAAAACGTACTGCGATCCCCTTTGAACTCCCTCACTGTTTATAGATCAGCTGGTTCTGGGTCAGATCAGATATACATGCATGACTATGTGTCAACAGATTCAGGCAGGTCTTCCTTTTCACGTCTCCTCTCTGAACTTTTCTTGTAGCTCCAGCCAAAAAAAGAGGCAGAGCGGCTCAACCCAAGGCACCAAAACCACCTAAAGTCCCCAAGGCACCAAAGCCACCAAAGCCACCAAAACCACCAAAAGTCCCCAAGGAACCAAAGCCACCTAAGGACCCAAATGCACCGAAAGCCAAACCCGGTCCTAAATCCAAGAAGGCCGCTGAGGCTCAGGCAGATGGCAAGCAAGAGAAGATAGATGAGAGCTTCAAGAAGGTGAAGAGGAAAATCGACCGCTTCAAGGGAATGTCGGAGGAGGAAGTCATGACAAAAACTCTGCCAGACCTGCTGGAATACAACCTGGACTATGTCATTGTAAGATTCCCTGCTCAACTGTTGTGCTGGAGCCAAACACTGTGCTGTCAGCAATGATTTTGGGGTTTGTAAGCTTCAAAAAACATGCGCTGCTTTTTTTCCAGATTGGTATCAACCCTGGACTGATGGCGGCTTTCATTGGACGGTGGTTTCCAGGTCCTGGAAATCATTTCTGTAAGTTATCCGATAAGAATGATTTTGAGTCGTAAGTTGCTCCTTACATGTTTTAAATGAAGATGAAGCTGTGACACCATTAACTTCAGACTTCAGCGTCTGCTTTTGTTGGCCCAGAGAGATAAATGACGAGGTCACTTTTACATTTCAGGGAAGTGCCTCTTTCTGTCTGGGTTTACTGAGGAGCTGCTCACCCACATGAGCGACACCGCCCTGCCTGGCAAGTACAAAATGGGCTTCACCAACATGGTGGCCAGGGCGACACCAGGGAGCAAAGACCTCTCAACGTAGGTCCAAAGACTGTCGCTCACCATCATGTTCGCTTTGTGTTTAGAACTTTGTTCTAAACACATAACATCATTTTTCTTTTGTTTTCATCTCGACAGTAAAGAGTTGCGTGAAGGAGGCAAAATCCTCGTAGAGAAGCTGAAGAAATTCAAGCCTCTTATTGCTGTTTTTAATGGAAAATGTAAGCACTCTACCGCCACACACCAACGGTTACAGTTAAGTTATTCTTTAACATTAACGTAAGTCATATTTTCTGTTCTTCTGCCCCCCCCCCCATCCCACCAAAGGCATCTATGAAATGTTCTGCAGAGAGATGTTTGGCAAGAAACCAAAGAAACTTGATTTTGGTTTGCAGCCACACAAGATCCCCGACTGTGATGTGGTGAGTCCTCGACCGCTTCACTGTGCTCACGTATCGATGAAAGGTAGCCTCTCAAAATGGATTTTGATGTAGATGGCGTTTGACGTGCTGATCCGACGGCGCTCTCCCCTCCGCAGGCTCTGTATCTGATGCCCTCGTCCAGCGCTCGCTGTGCTCAGTTCCCTCGAGCTCAGGACAAAGTGCACTTCTACATCAAACTGAGGGAGCTCAGGGATCAGCTGAAGGGGGTCCGGAAGCCCACCGAGATCGAGGAGGTCGATTACTCATTCAACCTGTCGTTGGCTAAGGGTAAGCACGACGGTGGACGGACGGACGGACGTGTGGTTTGTTTAAAGTCATCCAGCTGGCAGTTACACATCTTTATTTTCTTAAACTGAAACTATAAAAGAAGCATTGTGGCACACTGAAGACAAACTACATATAACCATCATTTAGAAACAAGTAGTTAAATGAAGAATTAATGCTCATAGGCAGTGACAGTCGCATCATTGGCTCGATATCTTGTGCGTTTCAGGACATCCTCATTTTATAATCCTGCGTTTGGCGTTTACTCTTCCCCTCTTTTTTTTTTACGTGAACAGAGGATGCCAAGAGGATGGCGATAAAGGAGGAGCAGTACGATCCCGGTTACGAAGATGCCTTCGGTGGAGTGTATGCAGAGAGAGGAGCCGAAGGGGATGCGGCCAAAAGCCAGACCAACGGTCACTGTACGTTCTCCACTGCAGAAAACACAGGTAAGAGTCGAGTGTGTTCCACTCTGCACGCTTTATATTTGAACCATCTTTTAAGGTAAATGTTTGTGTTAGTGCTCAGCTGTGATTCAGTCAGCTTCTTTACATGAACTTAAAGGAATACTTCACCCACAGAAGTACCATTTGTATATTAATTACTGTGTTTTTTAATTCTTTCACCGTAGAGGCATGCAAGAACAGTTTTCTTTAAGGAGTTAAAGGTAACACAGGGTGAGTAATTGATATACAAATGGTTGAGTATTTATTTTAGTAACCAGCATGTTCATTTTAGATTCTTTGATCAGGGCAGACAAACCTGATTTCTCCTGGAAAGAAATCTTTTCTTTTCCATGTAAGAGAGTTTCTAACCAGACCAGCCCGTCCTCCAATAACTAAGTCACTCTTGCAAAATGAAGTCGGGGGGGAGAAATCAAATTACTGAGCTGTTGCATGTCTCCAAATGTGGATTGATGTTCACTAAATTGTCCTGCGTACAATCCTGATTTCCCTGAGTAACCCGGTCTCCTGTGTGTGTGTAAGTATACACAATGAAACGGGACTAACTACCGGTAAACGTGTGTGCAGCATGAACACAACGATCTGTGATTCAATATTTACAAATAATCCTGTATCATTGGTCTGGAGCTGCTATCAAACATAAATAGACTTCAGTTCTGTGACATTATCCTCAGTCTGAGTGTTGTCTGTCTTCAGAAGGAGCACAGGAGGCGACCACGTCCCAGATACCAGAGGGCCAGCTCCCAGACGGACAGTGGATGACCCAGTCCTTCGCAGACCAGATCCCAGACATCGGCGGGGCTCCAAAGGAGGCCCCCGTATAAGGAAAAGACTTTAGATCCTTTTCTTTTTTTATTAGCGTCCGAGTGGAACATACACACATAGATGGACTTTTTTCGTAGCGTTTTTGTGGATTATTCTCTCTGCATTTTCTTTGTTTCCATTTGTTTGTGGTCTTGTACTAATGTATGATCATCTTCACGGCAGTCTCTTTTTAAATATGTGAAATCAGGGACTTGACAATGATGCTCGACTGTCTTTGAAGAAGGTCATGTATTTAAGCGTTTGTGTTGCCTTCGTACTGCACGATGATGCGAGTGTAAACATTCACAGATGAACCTCCGGATGGTTTGATCGATCAGTGTGAGCCGTTATGATCCTCTGTGATTTGGGTATTTTAGTTTTACCCTCATGGTGCTATGAACTGACCGCGATGCAAAGTGATCACTGGATGAACTCATCATGCATGTTAGAGATTCCACAGAGGGAATTCCTGGCAAGCCTTTCAACATGTTACAGGTTATACTTTCATCTTTTATCATCACTTTTTATTTTTTTTTGGGGCTTTAGGAATTTTAGGATTACATTTTGTATGTTTATGAAAATGTCATTCGCGAGGACTTTTATGAAACGTGTCCATTAAAACGTCTTGATGAAGCCTTTTTCTATATTATTGGACTAGCGTTCAGTCATTTCACTGTGAACTGATGGTGAAGATAACCGAGGCGTTTTGTTTTGTAGAGATTATATTAAAAAAGAAAACATTAAAGACGAGGGTTGACGTGCAACAAAGGTGCGTGAGATTCTGAAACATGTAACATGGTTTGCACATTCAACACAGGATTGAAACGTCTTTAGGGGGATCTATTGGCAGGAATGGAATATGGTATTAATATGCATGTTTTCTGTAGGGTGTAACCCCCTGTAACTAAGAGTCAGAGTACGCCAAGTGTCCACTGTTTAGACCAGAACGGACAAACCCCAATCGAAATCTGCAACCTCACCCCTAGATGCCACTAAACTCTACAAACTAGACCTCTAACTTCAGCCCAACCTTTCAGCTTTAGTCAGTGACGGTAAACTCGCTCTGCTGTCAGGGGCTGGGCTGCTTTTAAACAAACTAGAGGAATTAAGGTCAAATTCAGCTGCAGGTGAAGAGTTCAGTGCATCAATAGCTTTCATTAGCAGCATTACATAAGAGCTTGTCACAGACTAAACGGTACCATGCATGTGCAAGTCGCATAAGAGATGGATAAAGTAAACAAACAAGACAAACATCCAAATGTTAATATGAAAAAAAGATCTATTCTTGCGAGGGTTTGTATGATACCTTCAACTCACAGATGTGAGTTCATAGGAAGATTCCTATGAAAAAAAATTCTGTAACAATGAAATTGTGAACGAGTAAAACTACAGCTACGGTATATCTCATCACTACCAGTATTTATTTGACTGAACCTAGAAGAAGGCTCTACATCTACGTTCATACATTCTAGATGAAAAACACATTCGGCACCAACTTTGCTTTGGTTTTCTTGTCGACTCTGGAACGTCTCTGGAATGGTTTTATGAACTGCGGTCAACATGCCGGTCCTTCAACAACAAGGTGCGCTCGGTAACCTTGATTCAGATCAGGGTACATTACTTTAAGTGTGATCATTGGGAAAAGTTAAGTCAAGCTTTTGGTCACCATCTCAGTTCATTGTTGAGGCAATACACACACGAGTTAGACAAATCCAAACAAGTATTTATTTTACACAGAAGTGTAAAGAGATCATAAATACATATCAGTAGAGCTACTCTAATGATTCATCTGACATATGATACATATATCCCATTCATAAAAGGGTTTTACATTTGCAGTTAAGTCTTTTTGGCTTTCTGCCTGGTTTCTGGTGGATGAAGTGTCTGTTTTACTTCATTTAAAGTCTCCTTACCACACGCAGGTGTATTGGAGAAGTTGGATGGACCTGAACAGACAGATGTGAGGGAGAAGAAGTCCAGGTTCATGTTGTTGTCCCAATGAAGAGTTTTGTTGGTATTTGGGGTGATTGTTGAGGTCAGCGGTTTGATATTTCTGTGTCCTCCTGTCCGGGCTCTGAGGTCTGAGTTAGAGGAGCTGCTGCTCACCAGAGAACATAAAGACAAAGACCGAAATAAGCATCTTCAGATGTCGGGCTTTTACGATGAGAAAGTGTTGTGTATGTAAATACCAAACCAATAACTGAGATTAAAATGATTCATTTGATAACCTCAAGGTTACGTTCAGTAAAACGTTCTCACAGTGCACACACCTGTGGGGGTCTTTGACTTCGCTGCTCCATGTCTGCCGGCAGAGACCTGAGGACGACGTTAACAGCGATAATATGCTGTCACAAAAAAAGACCAACAGAGTATGAGTGTACAAACTGTGTGCTGTTGGTCCAGTGTTAGAAACAATACTAAAGGACTGTTGTTCCCTTCTGGTTGCACCATCGAACCACTTTACCCTTTGGTGAGTAAGAAGATCAGCCCAACGGGCAGCATGAGGAGGCTCAGGAGACACACCAGCACTCTCACTGGAAGCAACTGGGTGACCCGAGACCACTGAGTGTCTCCACAGGGACTCTCCCTGCAGGCCTCACACAGCACTAACACACACACACACACACACAATTTACCATTAAAATACACATCTACAGTAGTGATCTCCACAGAGGAGCTTCACAGGAGCATGTGGTGGCTCAGTGTGTATACATATATTCCTCTGAGCATTTAAAAAGGAACAACAACCAAAAACCTTACATTTAATCGCACCGCTTACCCTTTTTTTAATGCCAACTAAAACTTTCTTTGATTTGCAAACCTATGACCTGCTGACATCTGTCCTCCTTACCTTTCTTGATGCCTGCTGGGAGATTCTCTGTGACATGCAGGCCCAGCCACCAGTGATCTTCCTGCTGAGGGTTTTGTCCATTCAACAGTGTCTGCTTGGACTCTTTAGCTTGAGCCACTTCCTTCACCAGCTCACAACAAGCCGGTTTCACTGCGTCCGTCTCCGCCATCAAACTGGGCAGAAGACACCGTGTTCCAAGCAGATCTATAGCAGACAGTTAACACATAACACGCTTTAGTCGTTACTACATGGTGTGTGCTTACCCAGACAAGCCAAGGACTCAGTTGTGAGGAGGATGAAGGTGGAAGAGCTCACCTCTTTCTCTCAGGAAATGAAGAGCATCCATGTAGCCGTTGTGACAGATCTCCGCCAGCTTCTGTCAAACACAAAAGAGGAAACCATGAAGCTTTGTTTGCTCTTACAACACAGAGAACTGCCGACACAGCTCAAGATAAATTTGTCTTATAACCTGAATTCATTCATTTTCTAGGTGTGACAGAGAACCGAAGTAGAGATTGTATCTGTGCTGTGAAAGCTCTGTTAAAACACGTTCAACCGTCACTGTTTTAAAGAAAAAGCACCCACCTCAGGTCTGGGAGGGAGGAAGGACGTACAGACCCGGTGCACATTGCCGGTGTTGACCTGGATGCTTACGTTGCCGTAGTGCGCCTCGAAGAAGTTGAAGGTTCCCTCTCTGGGGCAGATGTCGCTCTCGCCGGAGAACGGGGCCATAGTGATGGTGTTCCTCTGCTCGAACAGAGGCATGTTGTTGCTCAGGGCTCCATCCATGTAGTGCTGAAGAGAAAGAAAGATACATGACTGAACGTACTCGTGCTGCAATGGAAAGGAGGAGTGTGAACATTTAGCTATGACTTCAAATTTGATGTCTTCTGGATGCAATGCATTCTGCTCTATTGAGGCATGCTGTCAGTGAAGAAGCTGGTATCCACTGCTCTATATTGGTTGTATGACTTGTGAACATGGGTGAAGAATAGCAGCTCTAATAAGTCTCTCATCCTGCCATGAAATTAGTTTTAAAACTATGTTTGTAACTAAAGAAAATGCCTCGCTGATGGTCTCGTTTACTTATGCGGGTCATATGGAGGCATCAGAATTAAAGCTATTTCATAACAATTAAAGTCATTGTAAAAAAGTTCATCACAGTTACTTTAAAGCCCCTATTTATAGGATTAAAAACAATCTGATTAGAGGGGCTTTGAAGTAAAGAACACAGTAAAATCATATTGTATAACCATATCCTTCTAATCCTCTCACAACAACTTCAGAATACAGTATATACCTACTCACCACTCCGTGGTATGAAGGTGGGATGAAACCACAGTAAACAGGGAAAAAGCAGCTGCACATCAGAGCCTGCGAAGGTAGACGACGCAGAACAAAACTTCAGAACAGATGCTGTGTGCAAACATTTCAGTCCCGCTCCTCCTCCATTCTACCTGAATGAGCTCCTCTCTGCTGTCAAACTCTGACACCAAGGCGTTCTTCCCATCAGCCAGTCTGGTGAGGGACACGCAGAGCCTTCCAGAGGCCCGAAGGTGGGCGTCAGCCGGAAGCTTCTCCAGCAGGGAGTCCCGTACTGTCCGCAGCAGACTGAAGGTCGGGTGGAAAACTCCCAGAGAGTGTTTTCTGGCCTCTTTGGCCAGAGTCAAAACATCAGCAATGAACTGCTCTGAGGAAGCAAGATAGTGATGAGTTACGGCTCATGAATGAGTCAGAGTCGATAACGTTCAACCTTTAATAGAATCAACTTTTGATATTGCTTTGATATATTCTTCAGCTATTTGGGGTTACTTTTTGATCTTGGGTATATTGAAGAAGCAAAAGTTGTACCCCTGACTCACTGAGCGCCTACTCTTCGAGCTGCAAAATGCATTCTGGGTAATGAAGGAAATCAATATCTCTTTGGGGCATTGTTTGTTTCTTATCTCACTGCTCTTTGGTTGTTATTGCTTTATTGCTTTACCCTGGCAAGCATACTCTTCAATAAAAACACAGATTCAATAGAGTTCACTATAATATCGGCTGTTTCTCCTTTTTGCGGTTTCGCCACCATTCATTGTCATTTATAATGTTCATATTCTTCAGTGTTGGCATCACCTTCATGCGCTAACCAACACTAATGGCGCTCAAATTCTCCTCCTATTCTCGTATCTAAGACGCCATTATTTCTCGCAGTTCAAAGAAGGTTACAAAAAAATCCTTTAGTGACATGAACTATGCTCTCATGCTGATTATTGTTCTGTAACACGCTTAAGTTGAGTGATATTTCCACACGTAGGTGCATGTGAGGACAGTGAGTGACGTGTGTTTCCCCTCGCTGGGCCTCCCTCCGCTATAAACTTCATGGCCTCTGGAATTTGCTCAAACTATTGCATGAACTCTGTGTGTGTCAGTGAAATCATTACTACAGGCATCCACAACAGCACTTGCTCTGAGATAACATGTCCCTGACCTTTTGTGAATGGCCGTGCACTTCAACTACTGTAGGAGGAAAAATAAAAACGTGTGGTAAACACGTCAGAAGTACAGCAAGTGGTGTAAAAGAAAGCAAAGATGTCTAATTACTTTAATAATGTTTGGTTTTAAAAACACACAACTTTTACATGTTCTTTATGATCATTGTAGTGAACCATACTGCCACACTGTCAATGAATAACTTAATGAATAAATCAATTACCACTTACCTGTTTGGGTCAGAGTTAGTTGGCTTTAAACATTATAACGAGAGGGAAACAAAGGATTTCATTACATTATAAACTGTAACCTCAAAGCATTTGTTGATCATCACAAGAAAAACAAATGTCAGCCAATAAAAGTCATCGACCATGACGATTTGAGTCTGCAATGTGCAGCAAACTCACCGATGGGAATCCCAACAGTCAGAGCTGCAGCCACGAGACAACCAGATGAAGCTCCACAGATCTTCGAGGCTCCATGAACCAGCTGTGGGACCCGCTGCAGGATACAGCTCAAAGCTCCCAGGTAGTAAATACTCCTGAAGCCGCAGCCTGCAAAGGAGATGTTCCACTCCTCGTCCCAGACAAACATCTTCTCTGAGGTTTCCATCAACCTCAAAACCACATCTCTGTCGCCTCCGTGGTCTCTTCAATCATCTCCCAGAGTTCAGCAGGTGCACTTGGATTCCTATCAATACTCACTTGAACACATTTTTTTTATCTCCACTGCATCCACATGTCGAATGGGCAGTGCTTCAGTTGGATACGCTTTGCTATTGCAAAACTCACTCGGCTCAAATGTCACATGTTTCAAAATAGAAAACAGGCTGGAGTCCCTTCACTTACGAAATGTAATTAGGCCAGCAGCACGACATGTGATACCGTTTCCATAAAGTACTTTCAAAACCAGCAATGTGTACATGACAGGAGGGGATGACAACAACAATCTCATTTAGAGGGATTTCTCCTCTTGTACCTTCCAGCTTTTAACTTGTTGCACATCATCACACAGAGAGAAACAGACGTACAGGTTTAAGTGATGTGTATATGAAGCAACTAACTGTATGAAATGAATTATCTAAGAGTTCCCAGCCCTTAAAACATCAGCGGATTATTGTTATTTATAGATCCTGCTGCATCTTTTCTTTGTTTTGTTTTTTGGAGGATGATAATGGAGGGCTACATGTGATAATAACATGAGAATGGTGCATCATAATATGAGTATATCAGCAGACGTTCACATCAATAAATTAAATGAGAGATGGGAGAGGAGAATATCATTAATGTACTAAAGAAAAGCTTTAGTGACAATGTTGGAAACTTTTCCTGGAATATTTAGTCAACCAGATTAATGAATAGAATTTGAGAAAAAAAGAAATTATTATTTATTTCTTCTATTTTATTATTTTATTTTTTCTATATGTATATAGATATTTATATATATTTTATATACATATCTGTATTTATTTACACACACATATATGTATATGTATTTCTTTTCGTTTGGTTGTCGTATCAGAGTTCTTAGTCCACACTCCAGATTAGTGGGAGGCGGTAATGCACCCGAACGCTGTTTGCCAACCGCCAAAAAAACAAAAGAAGAAGAAGAAGAAGAAGCAGGCGTCTGAAAACGAAGCAGTTTTTTGTGTTTTCCAGGCGAGGCGCAGTTCATCTCGAACGAGCCTATTTAGTGTTTCTTTAATAAAATGGGCATTCCGGTGGTTGACTTTGGTGCCTTCAGCCTGAGTGAGGAGGATGCTGCTGACGAGCAGATGCACAACCTGAGCAAAGAGCTGGAATCAGCTTTCACTGAAGTTGGTTTCGTGTTTCTGAAGAACACTGGGATCACCCAGCAGGAGGTGAGAACAAGCAAATAAAGTTGCGTTTGTTGCAGTATAACTTACTAGTAGTGGAAGTACCACACCGTGAAAAATACTCCACTGCAGGCAAAAGTCATGCATTAAAATGATTTTAGTACTGAAGTAAAAATGCTGAGAATCAAAAGTCTGTCTTGCTATTATTATGTTTCTGGATTCATATTACTGCTGCATTAATGTGGGTGTTGCATTTCACTGCTGCGTATGTTTAAGGTTGTTGTCATTTTAACTCTTTATATAGTGTTTTTGTAGTTTAACAGCCCTGTTTTCAGCTTTGTGGTGATGCATTTTCCAGCTGATCCAAGACGCCTATTGAAACGTCTATTTAGCTCTTAGAAGCAGGAACGTTTTTTAATCAACCCATAAAGGAACATTTCATCCTTCCGTTTTTAAGAAAAACTTTCAAAACCACCAAATTTGTAGATACGTTGTTCTCACTGCACAGGAAGACAACGACGAAAGCTGTCAGTGGAGTAGAAGTATAACCTTCCATAAAATGGAAATACTCAAGCAAATTTAATTAAATTTAATTTGTTCTTAAGTAGTAAAATGTCTGCTGGCGTGCTTCGACAGGTGGATCGTGTTCTGACCATATCCAAGACATTCTTCCTGCAGCCAGAAGAAGAGAAGCGACCCTTCAGCAGGAAAAGCTTCGCCATCAGTCCCAGCCACGGCTGGGTGCATCTGGAGAGCGAGAGGTCGGAACCAGAAACATGAACACGAACACACTTCTCATCTGCACAGTTCAGTCGTTTCAAAATGAAATAACTGTTTGTTTGTTTTTCAGGTTGAATCCTCGTCGCCCTGGAGACCTCAAGGAGTCATTCAACGTTACTTCACTTCATCCTGGCATTGTAATGACTCATTGTTAAAGTTTGACAGAGATTGATCCCCCTTTATTACATTAGTCTGGCGGTCAAAGTACAAGTTACTCTATAACCAGTAGAAGCTCTGTCCTACTTGCAGCCTGATTGATAAACTATCCTGCCAGTATTAGCAGCCGATATTGATTCATCACATATCAGTCGTGGTACTGTAATGCCATGTGCTTGAATTGTGTTAATTTACAGTTTCCCCACTACATGTTCACCGGAGAGCAGAGGTCATTTTTCAAGTGTCCTGCTGAGCCCATATATTTGTTCCCTATCAAAGCTGCAGATCCATTTTCCTAAACAGTCACAAATCAATATCAGTTCTCCCCTGCTGTAGAAATGGCCATCGGGTGCTGTAAAAGGGTTCCAGGAGATCCAGACGTCTTTCTTCCAGCGCTGTAAAGAGCTGAGTCTGCGGGTGCTGAGGGTGATGGCCCTCAGTCTGGGTCTGGACCCAGAGGTGTTCCTGAGCGCGCACCGTTTCATAGGAAGTTTGTACACTCGACAGTCAAGGAGTCTGAATCAGAGCTGCGTTCTAAATTGCATAATCTTTTTTTTTTTTTTTACCTGTAGTTCATAATGCAGCTTAACTTACAAATAATGTACTGTTGCATGCAGTGTATATTCAATTGGGACCTACTACTTCCTCATAACACCTTAAACTTTGACCCTCTTGCTCATACATCTGCTGAGCAAAGGATCGTGGGTCAGAAATGCCCTGCAAAATGCGAGCGGATGTTGGTCGAACATCCTGGTATTTTTGGCACACTGCATTTGACACACTATGTATTGGGACTTACTAAATAGTATGGGTATTGGAAAGCACAGCTGCTGATATGTGGCTCTGTGATCCTCTGTTTATCTGCATGGAGTCCATTTAACATGTGTGGACATCTCACATTCACAACATTGCGTACAGGCGAAAATAAAGACATCTGCTTACAGGAACAGTGCTACAGATGTGGCCAGATGTTCCTAGTGATCCAAACTGTCCTCGCTCATGTAACACTCGCTAAGTTAACGTTGCCAACACTCTTGTTCTTGTACCAGAGCCACGAATGCCATAACTCCCAGTATAGTGTGGATCTGAGGCACAAAGTAAGCGTTTATGATACTAACAAACCAGTGTTGTTGCATCTCCTCCAGCTGAAGGGAACGGAACAACACTGCGGCCTCTGTACTACCCAGCAGTAAACCACGAGAAACTGAAGGAGGGTCAGCTGCGGTGTGGGGAACATTCAGACTACGGCAGCATCACCCTGTTGTTTTGCAGCTCTGGGGGTCTGCAGGTAACACTGCCGAGAATTACCAATCGGGACGTTTGTTTTGACATTTGTTGCTGTGAGAGAAATCTCCAGGCGTGCAATCCACCGGACGGTCTTGTTAACCTTCAGGTGCGGAGGCGTTCAGGTGAATTCATCTGTGTTCCCTCCGTCCCCGGAGCGGTCCTCATCAATGTCGCCGACCTGATGCAGCGCTGGACCAGCGATCACTTTGTCTCTGTGGTGAGTTGAGAGGACTTTATCTCATCTGAAGGAAAAAGCTTTGGTGGATTTCACTGTTTGTTTTGCGACATATGAGAATTATAACTATGAGTTATGTGTGTTCAAGATAATTCAAGATCAAACTGGTCTACAACAGGGCAGATGTTACAAAGGGCTGTTCAGAAATGGATGATACAAATCCCAGCATACCTAGAACTATTAAAGGAGAATAATGCCACAGGAGAGATCTGCTTAAGATCAGTATAAATTCATATTTTATGAATGAAATATTGATATGTTGATAATATTGTGTAAATAATCCAGCTCCTCTTAAATCACACTCTACAGTTATGGTTTACTGACTCTCTCCCTCCACTTCCCAACACTCATATTTTGAGTGTAGTTCATTTTCTTCCCTCCAAACTTTCTATAGATATATTATCATGAATTATTTTGGCCAGGATAAATCTGTGTTAAAAAATCTGATATTGTGACAGCCCTAGGTGATTTGAGTAATCATGGTTGTCCGCTCTGCCTCAGGTCCACAGAGTTTTGCTGCCCCCTGCTGGAGACTCCAGCACACGTCAGTCTCTGGTCTTCTTCGTCCAGCCAGATGATGAGGCTCTGATCAGCTGCTGTGACGGCTCCAACAAATACCCCCCGGTTACAGGAGGCGGCTACCTGGACGAGCGCTTCAAGGCCTCGTATTGACAGAGCCGAATGTCCACCCATCACTTCATTCATACACAACTGATAACTACATACGCTGTTTTTACGTTTTGAATTGTATTTTTTTGATAATCAGTGAGCCAATGTGTACGACTAAAAGAAGAGACACAAACCTCAGACCTGCAAGTTCATTCATTTTATTGTCCACATTCAAACCTTGTACAGCTTCATGAATTCCTCACACAGGATGTCGGATTGTGGGAAAGATATAACTGCTCTTTGATAAGGAATATAATATCAACCAGTCAGTTGTACCTCAATAGCTCAAAAGATAAACATATTTATTCATATATAATCCAGTTTAAGTTTCCCATCTCGACCTGCTACGGTTTCATTTACAGTGGTGTGGAGAATAAATAAATTAAAAATGATTCTATCATGAAAACAGACAAGCTCTCTGCACAGATACAGCAGCTTTGGAATTCATACAATTGTCACTAACACCAGCACAATTATATTACATTAATAGATTTAAATATATAATTATGTGACTTTATCTGTAAACTTCATGTTATTCAATCATTTGGTCCTAAAGATAGATGCATTTTATGCAAGTATAAACTTTGTAACCAAAACAAAGATAACAAATAAAATAAGGATGCTGTTTCGTTGTGGACTCCTAAGAGCTTCTAGAACAGTTGAGATCGACTGACATGTACCAACATGCATATACAGTACATGATCACACGTGAAATTAACACGGTGACATGCAAGTTATTAAAGAAAGAAACACCATTTCACAGATCCAGGATGTTTGCTCCTCTGAGTTAATATTTGGAATACATTATTCATGCATTACTACATGAACAATGTAAATCTGACCGTTTCATTGTTTAGCCAGCAGCATAACGTGAAGTTAAGTGTCTGACATTCACGTTTATGAAATATTCAGCTCAGTTTAATGGAATAAATGCATATTTTTCAAAGTATTTCCGCTACGAAACAATATCAGTGACAATGAACTACAGTGTGCACAAAACAAAACATTCACCCCCCACCGTTTCACCCCAAAACACTTCCCATGGAGAACAGAGTCCTTGCTGTGATAAAAGGACCGAAATGACAAAAACAAAAGGGTTGATTGTTGACCAAGAACACTGGACCGGCTTCACATTTGGGATTCATGCCGCCCACATTCAGCGTAATGGGCACTGAAGCCTGAAATCGCCATTTTCTAAACGTGCTCTTAATATTTAGGCATAGATTTTTTTGTCAAGTGGTGTTTTGAAAATCCTGAACAAATAATGGAAAATTGGAATCATTACAAGGCAAACACGCACGCTCACTGGCATTCACACAGAGCCCTGAGGTCTGCTAAGAGTGTCCCGGCACCGGTACGTCTTTCTGCTGGTGACCAGCGGGAAGCGGTTGACTGTTTGCTGGTACAACTGGTGCAGGTTCACCTGCGGCTCCAGCAGCGTCCGGCTCTGCAACAGAGAGTCGTCGTTGATGAGCTGCACGAACATGATCGGGACGCTAGCGATGACATTTCAGATAAGGACTGTTTTCCCTTGCTCATTTGCTACTAGTAGAAGCAGAAGAAACATCATTTTATTTCTGCACCTTATGACTTTAAAAGGGCACTCCACTGATTTTACAAAACAGTATAATCTCTTCTGTGGCTCTGGAGGGAGATTTCCAACGTTTTGGGAACTCGAGGTCCAAGCAGTTTTGGAGTCAAACGCACACTATGAACTAAAAACACAGGACGTCTTCGCCTCTGCTGCTTTGATTTTGACGATTATTTTTTAACATCTAATGTGGGTCCCCAAACCTTACAATAGTGTAACTGTGTTACTGTAAAAGCTCTGTGTTGACTCTCTTTGGTTAAATAGGGTTCACACAACAATCATTGCAATGGGACACGTACCTTTGACCACAGATTTTATCCTTTGGACTTCTTCTACCGCCTGAGGAGAGAAAACAAAATGGAAAATATCTTTGTAAGAACACAACTTGTGCACATTAAGCTACAGTTTGCTTTAAGCTGCCCACTGCAGCTAAAAGCTTCGGCTCTAAAGCACTGCTGCGAGGAAGAAACAGTTTCTCATGACGACAAATCATGCATATCATCACTTAGGAATTATTCTTAATCGTTTGGACTTTTGGTTACTATGTCAGTCTACTGCACCTGCAGACTGTTGAAGAAAGTAATCCTGAATTCAACCGGCCAATAATTTGTTTTTTTTAGTTCACCTGCTGCAGCCCAATCTTCTGAGCATTAAGTTCTTCCTGTTTCCTCTCCAGCTCCTCCCTCTGTTTCTGCAGCTCCTCTGACTTCTTGTGGATGTCGTTCTCCTCGTTGTCCAGGTGGTTTTCATACTCTCTCAGCTCCTCCTCGGTGTAAAGGGGTTTTTGATCTAAAGTCTGTGTCGGGAAGGGAACCATAGGATGCAATGAATCCAATAATAGGATGAATTTATGATAATAAATCAAAGCAGCACCAAATTCTGTGACATGGTGGATAACTGATTTTGTCTTAAATTAGGCAAACTGCAAAAGAACGGTTTACTACCTTGCATTTCTACTGACTTTTATTGAATTCAACATTGATGAATTGCACTAACATGACAGCAAGTTCAACCAAATTTGAACTCAGCTCAGTTGACATCTTCTCACGTAAAGCGTCGCATTTCTGTCCGCATCCATCAGAGTCTTCCATTAACTCCAGCCCTTACCTCCCACTCGTCTTTTTCCAAGAACTCCTCCTTCTGAGTGGCAGCCAGGAACTCGCTCAGTGACACGAGTCTGTCTTTGTTGGTGTCCACCTGAACATCAACACAAGCTTTGGTCAGTAAATGTTCTCCAAGATGAACTGTTGAGTACAATTTTGTCACATTTCTCCATCAATGACTAATCAAGTGATATCTGACACACTGCCATTGCTTAGATGGGTATTGTAGTTTTTGCACTTTAAAAATGGACAAATTGATCAAATAGGGGTGCTGTAACTGAAATATTTCAAAAACCAATACTGCACTTTTGACAAAAAAGGGGCAATGCACTTGGAACAATGTTCTGGTGCTAAATATTCAAAGTCAATCTCTTTACTGACTGCATTCAAAGGGAGGATGTATCATCTGTGGGGCCTGATGAGGGCTGATCATTACTGTATCAATAACACGCTAGAGAGGCTCCAGGTCTGTTACTGTGGTGGCTCACCTCACTCATAACGTGCTCCCTCATTCGCAGCCTCTCTTCCTCCATCTCGAGCATGTCGTCCTCTTCATTTCCCGGGGAGTACACCTTCTCCAGCTTTAACGACACATACAGATGCTAATTTGTCTTCACATTCTCCTAAAGTGTGCAGAACCAGTTGGACCTGAATACTGCAACATAAATACCTCTTTAGTGAAGAGAGCCTCGAGCTCGCTCTCATCCAGGAAGCCATCTCCGTTGCTGTCTGCAACACAAAACCAATGACTGGAATGAACACGATGTCAACAGTGAGTTATGGTGCTCATTGTATCGGACACATTCAGATTTAATACGATTTTTTTCACTAGATTATAGAATCACGATTCAATGCAAGTCTTATATTCAAAGGTGCATGATACGAGGCTGGGAGCATTTTGACTGCCTCTCAACATGTCGACGGTGGCTCATAGCTAACAATGCTAACAGTGTTTCCCCGAGGGGGGACAAGAGGGTGGGGTAAGATGCAAGTGGTTTTTCGGTTACCGTGCATTTTGAAGAAGGTCTTGGGATCAAAGTTGTCTGGGTCCAACCCGTCTGACTCCTGCCACACCTCCTTCAGCTGGTCTTTACTGCCCTGCGCGCGCGCACACACACACACACACACACACACACACACACACACACACACACACAGTTGTCAGTTCACCTTGAAGCACAAATCGCTTCAAATGAGTTGTAATCTCAATTTGCATTAATGAACTCCAGCAGCAGCCTTACAGGGTGGTTAACTTTGGGATGCTCGGCGTGTTTCTTTCTCATCTCCTCGTAGTGCTGCCCCTCCCGCTTGCGCTCCTCCTCATTCATGTTCCTCAGACGTTCCTTCCTATCGTGCGCCTTCGTCATCTCGTACCTCTTGAACTCGTCGTGGCGGTCCTTGTCGTAGTTCTCCAGGTCTTTGGTCGCCTACGAATGACAACGAAAAAAAGGTGAGGAAGGGAAATTCACACCCGAGACGTACAACTTATACAGGCGAGTTCACTTTTCTGGAGTTGATCCCAACACAAGTTGTCCTGGGAACAATAAAATAAAGCTACCAGGCTGTATGAATGTCAGGTTCATACTCAGGGTACATGGCATATGATGAAGCGATGTCTCAGAGGGGATCAATATAAAATTATTATGTGATCCCTTTGAATCTGAAAGTATTGTTTTGGACTGACTTTTGTGATAAAAAGTGTAATTCTTTATTCTACATCCCTGCAGGTACTCGCCTGCTAAACAGTATATGGAAATGTTATGGCCGTTGATACTTGAGTATTTATCTGTATTGTATGCATTTCACCAAGCAATAGCAGGGCATGAATTGTATTGTTAACACCTAAAACACACAAACCCAGAGGTCTGACTTCCCCTTTGTTTATTCTTAGTCCACAGGAAACACGTTGTGCTCTCCAACAAAGAACCATGAAGCCATCATGCGACACGAAAACAGTCCTGAGGCACACGGCTCGCTGTCTGACACGTAGTTATCATCCTAGTTATAGTAATAATATGAGGCGAGGTGTTGTTTACTGGGATTATGGGTAGTACTACGATGCAGTTACATACAAGCAGCAGCACTGCAGTAACCGTGTAGAGGAGAGGAGTATGTTCCGTATTAGCTTTTAAAAAGTCTTATCCATCCAATCTGTGACAAAAAAACAGGGGAAAAAAAAAAATCACGAACTCCAACAAAATGTGGAAATCTGTATCCAAGATAACCCCGAGTGTGTGTGGGGGGCTGCCATGTGTTTATGCAGGTTATTTGTTCTACTCGAGCAGTCGATATGCTCTGAGGCAACAGCAGTCATTCCTCTGTTTGTTAATGCCTGACGCAGATCTCTGTTTGATCGAAATGTTGCGCAATTAAGACAGCTGGGAGCTTTCAATACAGCGTGCAGATCTTTTGGTTGATTTTGGCTGGAAGTTTTCTGGATGTGCGTACCGTACACTCAGTTTATGTTTGATGCTTGCTATGCCAATTTAAAACTACTTTCATTCATCACTGCCTTTTACCGATTGGATGAGTTGGTCCAGGTCCTCCACCTCGAACGTGTTGGGGTTGAGGTGGTTGAGGTGCTCAAACTGTTTCAGCAGGGCCTGGTGGTCCACTGTCCGGCCTGCAAAGGACGGGAATAAGGAAACCTTTTATTTCACTGTAAAACAGCTACAGCTGCAGCAACTGAAGATATGAAACAGATCTTTTGACTTATTCTGCATTACACAAAAAGAGACGGAGATCGTGTCACTCAACTCGGGGCTGGTTACTCTTTCCTGTTTGCTGACCGAAGACATTTTGTGCTTCAGTAGTTCTTCGGCATATAACGGACACTCAGCTCGGCAAACACCGGCTTTGTTTACTTAAGTTGCTGCTCAAATTTACACTAGAAAAGAGTTAAGTAAGAGTAGATAAATGTAAATGTGGTTCTAAGCACGATGATTTAATATGACGCCACCTCTAAAGATGTGTCCACACATTCTGTACGACCGTTTTTAAACGTCCACGTAATATTACTTTACAGAACTCTTCACCCTGGCCAGTGTAAGTCCCCGTTAGCTGCTGTATTACATCATGGTCTTCTGTTTCAGAGACACATCCTACATTCGACTGCTGATGCATATTACAAAACTTCTTGTGCAACTTTAAGAAGCTCGAGACTGTTAGCGACACATCAGCATGACGGAGTGCTCACCGTTCCCCCCCTGGATGTCATGTTTGGCTCTGATGAGCATCCGCAGCCGGCCCATCTCCTCCCTCTTCAGCTCGTCCAGCTTGGTCCGAAAATTGTTGTGGACAAAGTGCAGCTCTTTGGAAAGTTTGCCCAGCTGTGAGCGGGAAAATCAACACGACACAGCTCAATACAAAGTGTTCGTGTCAACAAAAAACAGTGGTGTGTTTCGCGAGTGTGCAGACGCACCTTGATGTCATCCATGTTGGCATTTTTGAGCTTTTCTTTGAAGTGGGGGTCTTTCTCGAGGTACTCGATGACTTCCCTGAGGTAGCGGTCGTAGTGCAGCCCGGTCTCCTGAAGCATGAATCCAAAGCACACGTCAGTGTTTGTTGACAGAGGACTAAAATCGTCATTTAACTTGTTAACTTCTAACTCGACTTAGGACCATTATGTTAAACCTTTGTCTTACGTAACTCTTGCTAATGGGGATAGTATCTGATTCAACCGGTTAATTGCTCTTGTTTGTTCCGAGCAAAACCTGAATTTTACAGTCAACCTTTCACCCAGAAGCAAGTGCACTTTCCATGTGAAACACCCCTCGCTGAGACACTGTAAACACAAATGATTCCCCCTGGGCCCGACCCAGAGGTATTTGGTGTAATCAGCTGTAAGACTTTAAATGTGACATTGCTGTGTATGACAGAGACTCACGGCACTCTGTGGTGGCTCCAGCTTGTCCTCTTGAGGCTTCTCTTTGGTCTTGTCGACACTGATCGGCACTGACTGGATGCACAGCCACAAACTCAGCAGAACCAGCCCACAGTGGGCCACGGCTCTACCACTCGCCATCTGGTTCGGCACATAAATTAAGACAATTAGGAGTTAATTGATGTTAATTGATGCTACATCAACATGATACACATCTCTCGTGGAGTTTTTGTTGTGTATTTGTACATGTCCAGTGTGTGTGGACAGGTGCACACAACATCACCTGGAGACAATATGGAATGAGGTTATGCAAGTTAGTCCTGATCCCAAAAGCAACTCTCTGCCACAAGCAACGCGCTGTGCAACGTGTTTTGGTGGATAAAGACGCAACGAGCTCACTTTGAAGCAATTCGTCCACCTGTAGCCTTTCATCTTTAAACAGAGTTGTGTGAACCTGCAACTGACACGTTACGACAGGCTCACGAGCTAACCATATCACTTTACGTTAACACGGTTGCTAGTTAATTCATTTTCCCAAAGCTGCAAAAACAAGCCCTATTATGTGGTCAATTGGAAGAATTAATCGCATTTCACGTATAATAATCCCTACTCGCACATGTGTACTTACTTTGGGCTGCTCTTGCTTCACTCTTTACCGTTTGGTTGTTCCTCAAAGTGCCTCCGAGCTTCACTGGAGCCTGTTTACAGCTGTCATCCACCAACAACACGAGCCGCTCTGAGGCCACAACCTACAGGGAGAGAGGAAAAGGTTGTGATCACCACGGCAACGCCCCGCCCCTCGACGCTCCTGATTGGCCAGGGGAAAAAGTACACTTTCTTTAGCAAAACAGTCGCGTTGAGAGCCGATTGGGCGCTCGACCTGTCAGTCAAAGAGTATAAGAGCGTAAACCTGTGCGGTTTAAGGCGCTCTGAGACAAACCGTACGTGGCGTTCACGAGGGCGGAGTTAGAGTTTGTATGCAAGAAACGTCATGTTGTAAAACTGGATTATACATACTTAGCTGTATATTTGTACACGGCAGCACTGGTCCAGTGCAAATTAAATCAACTGAGATGGAGAATATTTAGCATTCAATGGAATTGCTGTCATTCATTTGGCGTTTTGGGTCAAAATTGCTGTAAAACACAAACTGTTTTTCTTTATGTTATCCAAAAGCCCATTTAAAATGTCTAATTTAATCAGATTCAGAATCAGCTTTATTGGCCATGTATGCGTACGCATAGAATACATAGAATATACAAATAATATAAAAACAAGGACATTAAAGACAACAAAGTAGAACAGAGAAACTAAGCATACACATTTAACATGTAACTACTATGTACAATATAAATATAAACATATATCGAAGAACATATATGAACATAAAGAACAACAACAATGACAATGGATTTGGGATGCACATTGTGTGAGTGTGTGTGCGTGTGTGTTTAGTCTATCGTTGCATCATTGTTTCATTTCACCCACATGTTTTACAGTGTTTACACAGTCTAGCTACTGCACACATGGTAGGAGTATGAACAACAAAACACCCACAGGGTATAACAGTGGTGAAGTAATCAGATCTTTTATTGAAGTAAAAGTACTGTAGCAATTGCATAATATTAAGATACTCCATTGAGAGTAAAAGTCAAATTATTCTAAGTCATCTTATGTTCTTCATAATTATTACAGATGCATTACTGTGTGAGAGTAATATAGTATTATATATGTGACATTTTAATGAAAGCTACTTTATACCTCTACTCCACTGCTAGATAGATCGATAGATGGATGGATGGATAGATAGATAGATAGATGGATAGATGGATAGATGGATGGATAGATAGATAGATGGATAGATGGATGGATAGATGGATAGATGGATAGATGGATGGATGGATAGATGGATGGATAGATAGATAGATGGATAGATGGATGGATAGATGGATGGATAGATGGATAGATGGATAGATGGATAGATGGATAGACAGATGGATAGATGGATGGATAGATGGATGGATAGATGGATGGATAGATGGATAGATGGATGGATAGATGGATAGATGGATAGATGGATGGATGGATAGATAGATAGATAGATGGATAGATGGATGGATAGATAGATAGATGGATAGATGGATGGATAGATAGATAGATAGATGGATAGATGGATAGATGGATGGATGGATGGATAGATGAATGGATAGATAGATAGATGGATAGATGGATAGATGGATGGATGGATAGATAGATGGATAGATGGATAGATAGATAGATAGATGGATGGATAGATGGATAGATGGATAGATGGAT